CCCAGGCCCAGGCACCGAGGTTACGGATGTAGTTTTGGAGGTACCTACCGGGGTGGGGGTGGGGGGGTGTCCCCCCAAAACAAAACACATCCCCCAGTACATTATTGAGCTAATTCATTGTCTTCCATGACCTGGACTGTGTCAGTCCCCCATTACACTGGATAACAGCTGACCCCCGCAGCCCCCGGCCGCTCTTGGTGCCACCGATCTCCTTCTCCACCATGTGGAAGGGGTAGAGCACGTCGATGGGGAGCTCCACGAAGACGGGTCCTACGGGATCGGGGTGGGGGGAGACTCCGATGTCACCCCAAAACCGCTTTCTGGGGCTAAAACCCCCGATTCAAACAGCGGCACCCCAAAACGCCGCTGCAAACCGCACCGGGGTGACCTGCGGACCTGTGGCGGGGAAAAAACCCGCCGCCCAAACGCCCTGGGGGTGTTTTTGGGGTGTCCCCCCTCTTTTTTTACCGGGGGTCCCCGACTGCGCGGTGGCGATGGCTTTGCGGAGTGCGGGGATGATGTCACGGACGGCGCGCACCGAGACGCACGCTTTGCAGAGCGTCTTGAAGAGAGAGAGCTGGTCGATGTCCTGCAGCGCTCCCCGACCCTGCGGAGACGAGAAAAATGAGCCTCGAACCCCCAAAAACGGGGGAAACCCCCCCCCAAAATGGGGACGAGAGGGGAGCTTTTTTGGTCCCCCCACCTTCTGCAGCGAGGCGGCTGCTCCCCCGATGAGCAGCACCGGTGACTCGGCCATCTGAGCGTTCTTGATGGCTGTCACCGCGTTGGTGACGCCGGGACCGGCGGTGACGGCGGCGACGCCGATGCGACCTACGGGGAAATGGGGTGGGGGGGGGTGTGGGTGGAAGGGGGTCCCTCTGCACCCCAATTTTTGGCTGGGGGTTTAGGGCACGCTCGGTGGCTCATCTCGTTGGCACCCAAGCGGCTGAATTAGCTCCGGGGGGGGGGAAAAATAGGGACAAAACCCACCATGGAAGGACCCCGGACACCCACAAAGTCTTTGAACCCTTCTTGGCTCGACCGGGACCCCACCAAGCTGGGACACCCCAAAACCCTCCATCCATTGGGGCAGGAGAAGGTGCTGGCCATGGGGTCCCCCTC